GCAGAGTAGCTCTTAGAATTATTGAAATCTAACCTATTAGTACATAAATAATGTAAAAGTTCTCTCATTATGCCTAAAAGTACCCTAGTTCCTGAATTTCCTTATAGATTTCTATAAGAAATTGGATGTTAAGCCCAAATTAATAAGTTGGATACCATTTATACATGATCATAGCCAACCTAGAACCAAGTTGCAAAATTTCCTTGATAATTTGCCACTATAAATCAAGTATTAAGAGCGCATTGACTAATTGTGTGTTTGGAAGATTGAGGGCCGAAAAGCTATACTTGAAGATCAACAAAATTTTTTCGTAAAAATATAATTGTTTGATCGTTATAAGAGAAATGTTTATTCAACCCCCCAAAAAAAAGAAAGAAAGAAAGAAAGAAAATCGTTTTTAAAGCTTTTTTGAAGAAGCTTAAGTACATTGATATAAAAGTATTAAACACTACAAATTAATTTTTAATACCTTTCATGATTCGGGTTTTTAATTATTTCAGGTTATTATCTTAATTGTTTATTTTCATTTTCATATTTTATGTGTTAAAATATATTTTAGAAATGAATGACATCTAAGGTGACACAATAAATTTTGGTATTTCATGAGTGTGTCTGATATTTCATATGTTAACTTGTCATGTTTTAATGCATCTTCAATAAATTAATTTAAATCTTAATATTTATAAAAAAAAAATGTGCCAAGAGTAATGTAATTAAAACATTTCATTTTGTATAAATTTATATAATATGAAATAAATGTTTTTATAAAAAAATAAGGGATGTATAATAAATAAATAATTGTTTCCACATAATAATGGAGTATATACAATTCATAAATAAAAAATACTCTTTTAATCATGCTACCAAATAATCAATTTGATGTTCACATCACTTTTTGATTAGCAAACAAACTGTCAATGGAAATAGCACCTAAAACCTTTAAATCATAGTAGATAACATCCACACATTTCAAAATTGTGTGAAATAAAGATCTCGGGAGGTTTCCGTCCAAAAATCCATTAATTGACCAGAACCAAGCACGTGACCATAACTTGGTCAATTTTCAAAAAAGTCAAAATATTTTTTTTTATATTGATTAATTAAAACAAGGGTAATTGGCATTGGAGTTTCTAAATGTTTAAAAAATGTAAAGTGTGGTGCGCATTAATTAAAGGTTTGAGGCCGCCCTCTATATTTTATGAAAGGTCTTGAATCTTCAATGCAAATTGTTCTTGTTTAGAAACCATTTTGTAGTTTTTAAAATTATTTAAATTATAGTTAATTACTTACTTTTTGTCAATTAATGGATTTTCGAGCGAAAGTTTCGAAATGTTTGGAGTATATGTACGATTTAAAGATTTGGATGCTATCTGCACTATTTTGAAAGGTTAGGGAGCCAAACATGTATGTTATCTCAAGTAATTGAATCGCTCTATAAATAGTGCGCCAAACCATTCAAATCTCTCGTAATCTCTCTCTCTCTCTCTCTCGTCCATTCCGTGTCTAATAATTCTTCACAATCGCAAAATCAATTGCGTAAAGTGAAACGATGTCGAAAGATAGCAAGGTGATAACCCTGAAGAGTTCTGACGGTGAGGTTTTCGAGGTGGAAAAGAGAGTGGCCCTGCTGTCTCAGATTCTCAAACAAATGATCGAGGACGACTGCGTCGATAACGAAATCCCTGTTCCCAACGTGACCAGCAAGATCCTCGCCATGGTCATTGAGTACTGTAAGAAGTATGCTGTAGGCTACGCCGCATTCACTGCCGCCGGCCGTGACAAAGCCAAGATCAAGGCCATCACGGACGACATGAAGACGTTCGTTTCTGAATTCGTCAAAGTCGATCAGGCCACCCTCTTCGACCTTATTATGGTATACGCTTTGAATTTACCCCGTTGATTCATTTTTATTTATTTATTTTTTTCAAGATTATGGTTGATTCGGTTATGTATTGTGTGTTAGGGTTTTTATTAGGCTGAAATTGGTTTGAATATGTCAAGAATTGCTCCTTTTTCTTCTTGTCTTTTTTTTTTTTTTTTTTTTTTTTTTTTTTTTTTTTCTTTTTCCCTCAAGATTATATTTGATTCGGTTATGGAAAGTGTTTTAGGGTTTTTAGTAGGCTGAAATTGGTTCGAACATGTCAAGAATTGCTCTTGTTGTTGTTCTTGTCGTCGTCGTTTTTTTTCTTTTTTTCTCAAGATTATGGTCAATAATGTATTCAAGCAGATAAAGGAGTTGGATTATATTGTTCGGGTTCTCATATAAGCCAAAAATCTAGAATGTGATCGACTCCCTCCAAGTACTGTTATACTCTGTTTAATCAGTTCGTTACATTGTATTTCTCTTGCATAGTTGACGACTACGCTTCTCATGGCATTGACTAATCCTTCTCCCCATATGATTTTTCAGGCTGCTGACTATCTGAATATCAAAAGTCTTATGGATCTTTCTTGCAAATCTGTTGCAAAGATGATTGCGGGGAAATCACCAGAGGAGGTTCGTGAGATATTCGACATAACAAATGACTTCACTCGTGAAGAAGAAGAGAAGGTCCGAAGAGAGAACGCATTGGGTTTTGAGTAGTATATTTCGATTTTTCTTTAAAGCTGGATAAAAGTTCTCTTGGTGACATCTGGAATTTTCCTGTTTCTTCAGGATTGTTTCCATAGTATTGTTGACAGTTCCAAGTATTTTAGTTACGTACGAATTTTTCAGGATTGTTTCCATAGAACAGTTGAAAATTCACATTCTTTTTAGTTACCTATGAATTTTACGTATGAATTTTTTAGGATTGTTTCTGTTGTACAGTTGAAAGTTTGCGATCTTTTTAGTTACTTCGTTATGCATTAATAAAATTTTACTTCTGTTTGCAGAAATTAAATTTTTATAGACAAGTATAGAAGTATTTTGTGCTTATATAATTCCCTGCACCTTATATCATATGGTGTGACTTTTGATCTTTCTGGTGTTGCAAATTTGGGGTTATTCCAATTGTACATAAATGTATTCACCTCCTTCAGAGTGGGCCCCCCTCCATGTGAGGCGGTGGACACCCCGATGTACATCAAGAATAACCCTAAATTGTTTATCCGAATAGCTGGAAGTATACAAATGGATTGAGTTAAGGTCAACGACCTTCCTGATATACGTTTTGCCGCGCTTCTATGTTCGGTAAAATCAGTAACTTAACAGTAAGTTAGACTTAACTTTAATCACAACTGAACATGCTATCGTACACCTAAGACAAATTGTTTGGAGTTTTAAACCTTGTATCACGATGGTAGATTTGATCGCAGAGGGACTCGATTTGATCGTTGCTGCTACTCCAAAAACATGGAGGCACGGCAAGGATGTACCCGGAGAGTATATAGTAGGCAAATTAATGCCTCCACTCTAAGGTCCACAATTGGAAAATGCTAACACTCAACAGCTTTGAGGGAAGGACGACTTAAGTGATTAGAACATTTTTTGGTTATCCTTAAAGAGATTCATGTTCGCAAGATTGTGCAATTTAACTAAATCTAGTTGGAAGAGGAAGGTATAGAGCTAAGCTAACATGACAAGTGGCTCAAGATATATAGCAATGTAAAATATATTCAAGCAGTTGACTTCAAATGTATTGGCTTCAAAATTTAGCTCCCATTTGGCTCCATTATTTTACATTATAATTTTTCCCTCTTTTATTTTCAAACACACAATTTTGCATAAAATAATATTACTCGTAAATCAAAGATTTTTCTTCTTTTTCAAATATACATTCTATGGCGAATCTAGGATCAAAGATCAGTTAAGGCGAAAGTTGACAGTTGACCATTGATGATCATAATTGCAAGGTCGTTTGTTAAAATTTGTTCTAATATTTGCATTCTAATCTCTTTCCCCTTTTTCAACTGCGTCATCTCTTTATTCTTTCTCCTAAATTCTTATTCTTCCACTTTCTTCTCTTGCAAGCAGACCACAATCCTATTTTTTGATAATAAACTAGATACCTTAATACCTTTGTTCTAAGTTCTACACATTATTCTTCTACTTTCTTATCTCTCAGTCACATTCATAATAAATAACTCATAAATTAACATACCAAAAAAATAATAATAAAATGAAAAAGGTAACGGGACTTACAGATGTAAATGCAAATCGCAATCATGGGGAACTAGAAAGAACCAGCTGAGAAGGGTTTGCAAATGTAATTCATTTTTCAATTGGAATGGTTGAGATATACGGTGGGTAAATGGTAATGGAATTCATAATTAACTTAGGCTGGTTTTATTTTTAAAAATAAAAAATAAAAATAAGAGGCCCAATTGCCCAAAAAGGCCCAAAACTTAAATAAATAAATAAATAATGATGGCCTAATCTAAAACGGCCAAACCTTTGTGTCACTGGGTTTCATCTTGGGAAAATTACATAGGTTTTTAAGAAATACAATTCACAAATCATGAAATTTATTTGTGCAAATTAATATCGGGTATTAATCTAGTTGTAAACCCACCCACTCCAACCGCCTCACCCCGCCAACCTCATTATTTCTTCTCGCCATTCTCTCTCTCTACATCCCTCTCCCTTCTCTCTTCACCACGTCGTGCCGAAGATGACATCACGTCGGAGATGACGTCATGCCGACGACGACTGCAACGCGACACCAGCATTCAGCGATCTCCTCTATTCCTTCGGCGCTTTTGTGCCATTGACTATAGCACACTCGTCTGAAGACGAGGCAGCACCACCGGAAGACAACATCGATTGGCACTAAGATACCGCTGTACACTTTGTCATTCACAGTGGTGTCGAACGGCAATGTTGAGGCTAGTGGGAACTCACGAGAGTGTTGCCTAGTATGCTGTAGAAATTTTGGGGAGGTGTTGGCACGCTAAAAGTGCAGTCCAAATCGAATAGTACAAAGAATGAAGCCCAACTGGGCAATTCAAGATAAAGACCCGAATAGGATTATGAATGAATGCAGTGGAAGCCCACAAACGCGGTAACACCATCGCCCAAACTTGCAAGACGCCCAAGATCTGAGCGAATTAAGTGCCTTGCAGTCGCCCAGAGTTATGGCCATGTTCTCGCCCAAACCTTCGAATCGCCCAAGATCTTAGCAAACATAAGATGTTATGGTTATCCAAAAGTGTAGTTATCGAAGCAGTTATTAAGTAATCTTATCACGTTCCACGATTCAAGGATGTTCAGTTGAAGACGATTGAACGACAAAGAGTAGTGGCAACAGTTAGAAACGGCAGTTCCACGATAAGTTGGCCACCATGAAGAAAGTGGGCAGTTATAAAGCAATTAAACGGTTTCTAAGCGGTTGATCACGAAGAGATCATCAAGGGAATATAAAATGAAGAAAATACATAGAGCAAAAGACCCCGAATCAAACACTCTCAAACAGAGAATATGTAATTTCAATTCCTTAGTTTAGACTTAAAATATTTCTTTTCAGTACTCGTATGCTTGCGCCCCTTGGAGGCATTCTGTTTAAAGTTCCAATTGTAAAGTCATCGCCAATAAAACACCCATTTTTGGGACTTTGTTTCAAGAGGTTTGTTCTTACACAATCGTCAGATCCCTTTTTAATTGTTAGCGACTACCTGCACGAAATAATTTGACACGCCCAGTGGGACCATCTGGTGTTCGGTGTTGAAGATATAAAAGGTGAAACAATATGCCTCAGAAATTCGATAAAGAAGCAGCAAGTCAGGAAGGAGTCCAGTCTATGATTGAGCGATATGAGGAGCAGCATAGCTCTCCACCAACAGATGGACAAAATCAGAGCAATCACAGTCGTTACGAACTAATGACAGAGTTGAGTTCTCGAACCATGCGTGCATTACTCGGAGAACTCACACAAGATGTCGTTGAACACGTAAATCTACGAAGTATTCATAATATGGAAAGATTTACCCAGAATGGGAATGCACATTATAACAACATGGCCAAACAACTGAATACTTTGAACGACATTATGAATAAGTTAGTAGGCCAAATTTGTTAGCCAGTTGTGCCTCTTACAAACCACTTTCAAACTAGGACAATTGTGGGACATAATCCCCCGGTCCTAAGTTTAAATCAAGGGGTAGAACCACCTTTTGATCCCTTTACTTTAAACCTGGGGGGTGGTGTAATACCAAATCAGAATAGTGGCATTGGTACATCTAACTTGGGGGATAACATAAATGTAAGAGATAATGTCCTAAATAATGGGCAGAATACCCCACGTGTTAATGATGGAATAAATGTTCAGGCTAATGTAACAATGACCCAAATCATGGTAACTTTGTTGCCAATCAAGGACCAAACATCAGGCCTCAAGCAAATCAACTGGTCAACCAACCTGTAGGAATCCCATATGACCCCAACGTCATGTTGAGGAATCAGATTATGAAAATCGTACAGGACCAGATGACTTTTGGAGTACGTCCTGTCATTAGACCGACTTACACAAAGCCATATCCTAATTGGGTAGACCAAGCATATCCATGGCCTAGAGGGTATAAAGTGCCAGAACTCTCACTGTGTACCAGTTTAGGAAAGGTGTCTACTCTAGAACATATAGGGCGATTCACACTGCAAAGTGGTGACGTAACTGATTACCATAAAATGAGGCTGTTCCCTAGTTCATTAACAAAAGTATCCTTCTCCTGGTTCATCAATTTGTCAGCAAACTCTGTTCAAACATGGCAACAATTGGAGTAATTGTTTCACGCTCAATTTTATAAAACTGAGTCTGAAATTATTTTGGCCGATTTGGCGAATCTACATCAAATGCCAAACAAATGGGCAGAAGGTTTCCTTCAAAGGTTCAAGACAGCAAGAAGTAAATATTTTGTACCTTTGCCCGAAAAGGAGTTTGTGAAAATCGCTCAAGATTGTCTAAGTTTTGATTTGAAGAAGAAGTTCTAAGACAAGGAATTTCCTGATCTTTTCCAATTGAGCGCGAACGTGATTAGGTATGAACGATTAATAAGAGAAGAAGAACAAATGAAAAATTCTAGCAAGGGGACTTATTATAGAGACCCAAATTTTGATGTTTATACCATTAATGACGAGTATTACGATCAAACCGAAATGTGTTTGGCCGAATTAGTTAAAGGAGACACGTATACTTATCCTATAATGGCTAAGTCTAGGCCGTCGGGCAAGGATGAGCCTATAAAAGATGAAAACATAAAGGCTAGAACGTTCTCGTTCGATGTAACTAAAGCTGACCTTATATTTGATAAATTATATAAGGATAAGCAGATAAAGTTGAGCGATAAGTATAAATTGCCAAGCCCTGAACAAATTAAGAGTAAAAAATATTGTAAGTGGCATAATGCATGGTCACATTTGACTAACAACTGTTGGTTTTTCGCCATGTGTTACACGATACCATTGAAAAAGGACGAATTACGTTCGAGGATAAGAGAAAGATGGCAGTGGATGAAATCCTTTTCCACAACCACTTGGAGTAAACATGGTGACGTCTGGTTTAAAAAACAAGTTGCCAAAATTCAAATTGGTTATAGATGATGGAGAAGAAGAAGCTGGACCACATCCCAGCATCTTTGAACGTATCAAAGGGAAGGAGCCTAAAGAGGACGAAGACGTCCTATGTGCAAGATGAAAAGAAGAAGTAAGTACAAATGCAGAGAAACCAGGGATATGACAGTATCACCATCACCCTAGTTTTTTCCCAAACGCTCAACCTGGTAGAGGCCAAGGTACATCGTTCTATAAAGGACCGCCTTTTGAGAGGCGATTCAGGCCAGTAAATAAGGGGAGAAAATTCAGACCGCAACCTCGCCAACCAAATGTATGGCATTCGTTCCAGTATAAGGTTGGAAGGGTGATACATTTCAACGAGATAACGAGGACCCAACAG